TTTACATGAATCTAATAAAAACTCATTTTTCAAAAAATTTGCAAAATGGGCCCTTTTAATGTGAAAGACCCCATATGCTTTATTGGTTCAGAAAATTATACAATTTCTTGCGGTTATTTATTATCCAAATTACAAGGACGAAAATTATTTATAAATTCATATCCACCTTATTATATTGTATCTCTTAATTTGAATGATCAAAAATTTTCGCCCATACGTTATAGCTCTGATCGGGTGCCGGTCAAAATCCCGACAAGCACAATCCCGACAAAAAAATCCCGGCAGTCAAAATCCCGACAATTAAAAATCCGATATGTTTAAAGCGAAGTAGCCTCTTATAATTTAATTAACTTTTAGGGTAAGATCACTTTAGACAAGAATTAGGCTAGTGTTAACTATGGTTTATATTTTTCATCAGAATTTTTAATTTTCTGAATTTTTAACTGTCGGATTTTGGCTGTCAGGATTTTTGCTGTCGGGATTTTTTCGACCTGTCGAAATTTCGCTTGTCAGAATTTTGACCAGAGATGGGCAAAATTTTTATATATTCTTACATATTTTTTACATATTTAACATATTCTTACAAATTTACAAATTTACAAATTATGGTAAAATCAATACACCAAGATAAACAAAACTTCAAGTTTAATATTTATTTTTTTTTAAATAAATTTCAATTTACTGCATACAATTAATGATTAATTTAATGATTAGGCATTATCGAGATTTTCTAAAACTAACCAGTCCCCTAAAGTTTTTTCTTGAATATTATGCGCAGCTTGAATAGAAGATTCAATTACGGCTTCATTATATATACTTTGATCATTAGTATTAAATTATCAATGTTTTCAATTGTTTGCATTACATTTTCTTCAAATTTTTCTTCCAAATTATCATCATTATTATGTTATTTTTTGTTGCACGTTTATTTATAAGTTTGTCACGCTGTGGTGAATGGATATTTGCAATAAATAACAGAATCTTTCGCTTTCAGCAGAAGCAGCATAACTCGTGTAGCCAAAATAGTTAATTCCGGTACGAACGATCTTTTTATTTAACACAAACAATTTTGCATTTATAGTTATTTGTAATCAGTAACTCTTAAATTACTTAATATGTAATAATTTTTAAAGTATGTAAGGGTTAAATTTTAGCTATCTCTTACATAATTATTACATTGCCCATCCCTAATTTTGACCCAAACCCCATGCAAATTCAGGTGACATATTAGTAAAAATCCGCCATAATTCCTTACACTATTATAAAAGTTATTAAATTATTTGATTAACGAAGCTCTATTTTCTCCACTTTTTATTAATATATTTTAAACATTAATTATATTCTAATTTTCTGTTACTATTGCTTTTATTAGGCGTATTGCAACCTTTATCCATATCATTATATTAAATACAGCCAGACCACCATGTTGGGAAACAAAAGTTTGACGATTATAAAAAGTTGTGACTACATGAAGGTCATTAATAATTGAATACCTAAATAACCACAGTCAAACCTCTTTCTATAAATACACACTCTATAAATGTAAATTAATCTCGTTAACAAAATGTTAGCACTATATGATCACCATTCAAAATTCTTATTTAACCAGCCAATAAAAACACACCATCTATTGCATAACGATAACGATAATGGATGCTGATCAATCTCATTCTAAAAATATTTTTCGAAATGTTAAGACGAATAAGTCTATTTCGTCCGATAAATCCGAAATTTCAAACTAGTTTATTGTTTAATTTTAGACGTTTAGTGACCGTTACTCCAGATTACAATATAAAAAAACGAGATGCATTTGATAACTCATATATGATTGATAAAAATCTTTATGATATTGTTATTGTTGGAGGGGGGATTACCGGAAGTGCTTTAGCATGCGCTTTAGGTATAGTAGTTTTTCTCTATTTTGTTTTGTAAAACTTTGAACAAAGAAAATAAGTAGCTAAAATTTTAAAATAGAGAATTCCCAGAAGACAAAGTCACTACGTATTGCCCTGATTGAATTTAATAACATATCAAACATAAAAGAATGGAAACCTTTACAATTACAATTTTCAAATCGTGTAAGTTCATTAACGCCACGGTCAATTCAGTTCTTCAAAGGTAAATTATTTAACTTTAATATTACCATATTTCGTGGATTAAATTACCTTCTGCATAATGACACAATCTTATGTTTGGACTCTTAATATTGTAATGGAGTAAATTTTGTATTTTATGTTCTTGTACTACCTACACAAATGCGACCACAAATGAAAACATGTCTACAATAATAAGATGTCAAGTATAAGGTTAATATTCTATAAGAGAAGTAGTTTAGCCCAAAAATATGGTATGAACATTCATTTTAATTAAGAAGCTATTATATATGTCGTACATCAAATTAGAATGGTTAAAACTGTGTTGCATCAGATGAAATCTTATACACTAGATTAAGTCGTTTCATGAAATAAGAATTCCGTTTCCTGATTTATAACCCTCCATTCTTGAAACAATTCAATAATTGCACTAATCATCTGATACAATCAGATTTTTTACGACATTTATTGTAGCCATTTTTGCACTTGCACATTGTACGTTCTATTCGATTTTGCGCCATTTCTCTCTCATAAATCCAATTGAACATGATTAATTCCGGTATTTTATACCATGGGATAAAAATAGTTTTAATCGATAATTTTCTTATTTGACGTCAGACTTTCAATATTTTATCAGGTCATCGAAAGCTTGCCGCGAAATAAATGAATATATCATGATCGTTTTGCTATTGTAAAGAAAACTAAAAGAATTGTTGAATAATTCAGGCGAAACTAGTTATTATATTATATTCATTATTCACACATTCTAATCTGATTGCATATAAGAAAAAACTGGCCTAATGCATCTTAAGAATCAAAATTTCGATCTGACACAACTTAATTTTAAATATGCCTACTTAAAATCTGATCCACAATATATACATCAATTTCAGATATTGGTGTGTGGGAAAATATTATACAGGAACGCATTAAACCATTCAAAGACATGCAAGTATGGGATGGCATTAGTAACGCCAGAATAAGATTTAATAGTGATTTTATTGATAAAAATGTAGAGGCCATCGCATGGATAATGGAAAATCATAATATTCAACATGCCATTCTCACCAAACTTGCGCAAAATAAAGATAGCAATGTCAATTTTCTTGAAAATACTAAAGTAGAGAGAATCATGTTTGATAATATTGATTACGAAAATGAACAATTTGACTTATCTGACTGGCCAACTCTTGAATTAAGTAATGGAAGAATTTTAAAGGCTAGACTATTGGTATATTCTTCTATCATTTATTTTTTATCAACTATTCTTTACATATTGGCTATTTTAAAGAATTGCTGATATCTCTTGATCTACTGACCCGTTTTAAATGATTTAACTACCAAAATGTTCGTCTCAATGAGAGGATTTTACCGATTTTTGGACTCATTAGAATCCTCTCATTGAGACGAACATTTTGGTAGTTAAATCATTTAAAATGGATCAGTAGATAAAATGATCCCGCAATTCCTCAAATCAGCAAACATGATTATTTATCATGTATTTTTTTCAATTTTTTTTTTTTTTTTACTTATAACTGAAGATTGGTGCTGACGGAATCAATTCTATTGTTCGCTCATTTGCTAACATTGAATCACTTGGTTGGGATTACAATGCAAGTGCTGTGGTGGCCACTTTGCAAGTGGATCCTCTGGTGGAAAACATAGCAGCGTGGCAACGATTTTTACCAACTGGCCCTATTGCAATGTTGCCGGTATGAAACACTATAACAATGAATATTGTTTATAATAAAGGTAGTAAATAATAATTATTTGTGATGATAAAAAAAGATCAAAAATGGATTTTCATCGATGGTATGGTCTACGACTCCCACTCTTGCTTCCAAGATACGTAAACTTCCATCAAACAATTTCGTACACTTGGTGAATGCAGCGATCCACCTTCGAGTTGCTGATTTAGAATATTTATATTCTCAACTTGAAAATAATGCTATTGACTTTTCAAAAGAATTTGAATGGCGTCAATCTGTTGAGAAAAAAGCAGGCATTGGAAATAACCCTGAGGAAATATTTCCACCATTAATATTGGATATACAAGAAAAAAGTCGTGCGGAATTTCCATTAAAGATGAGAAATGCAGAAAGTTATGTTAAAGAAAGAATTGCACTTGTTGGGTAGGTTATGATAGTAATGTCAAGTAGAGTTGGGATCCGCGAATATTCACAGATAAATTGAATATTCAATTAGCAGTGAATATTCTGTTACACAATCCGTGAATAGTCAAGAATTATATTATGAATATCTTTATGAATATTCTCTGTAAATATCTGTGTAAAATATCTGTGTGAATATTTTGCATGACTATTTCTGTGCGAATATCCGTGTAAATATCTGTATGAATATTCTGTGCGAATAGTTGATAAATTGAGAAACGTATTCACGTGAGATTATTGCGAATTCTCTGAATATACGCAAAATTTCTATGAATATCTACGAATTATCTGAATATCCGTGAATTCTCTATGAATATCCACATAAAATGTGTATCTTCATTCATTATTATTCGCGAATGATTAAAATCCGTGAATATTCATTAAATAGATGTGATGGATATTCAAAAGATCCCAACTCTAATGTCAAGCGGACAATTAATTCTCAAATTTGTTCATGTTTTGGCTTAAAAATAGCGATGCTGCGCATACAATACACCCACTCGCTGGGCAAGGACTAAATCAAGGATTAGCTGATGTACAAAGTTTAGTCAAAGTCATTGAACATGGAGTTATTACGGGGCAAGATTTAGGTAATTTACAATATATTTATGTTTAAATGGAAATGTGTTTACAGTATAAAAAAACAATATACTATATATTAATTTTTTAAAAAAACAAAGGAAATATACAATTGCTCAGAAATTATTCTTCTGATAGATATTTATCCAATCTTATAATGTTGGGGTCAGTTGATAAATTGCACAAATTATTTGGAAATAATTTTACACCTATAGTTTTTATAAGATCATTAGGATTACAAATGATTAATAATTTGGAGCCTGTTAAGGTTTGTAGAATAATTTTATAAAGATATCTTTTTATATATTACTAATTAGTTATTATTTAGTCTGAAATTATCAAGTATGCAATGGGAATCGAATAATACTACAAGTTATTTATACAATATTAAAGCAAATAGGAGCACTATAGTGGGTAGTAAAACAATGAATTGGATATAAATAAATATTATTTAATTTATTATTTTAACTATTTACTGCGGGTGATTATCACCTTATTGTTATTATCTATGAAACAGAGGTCAGATATATTATGTAAAAATGTTAAGAATTTTTAAAACCTTGTATAATTTAATTTGGATTATTATAATTAACTTTTATTTTGATTTCAAACTGCACTCTAAGTTTAAACTAGATCACTACAAGTGATTATTAAATTTTCTTTAAATTAATAATTTTATTTTATATTATTAATATTCAATAAAGGATTTTACTAATTATAATATAACAAGATGAAACCTGTGTTATGAATTAGTAAAATTTACTATATAGATTACATGAAAGTAAAATTTGCTTTTGCTTAATAAAAAATATAGCTAAACATAGATTTTATCTTAATATGATTCATATAACAGATTTTGCTAATTTACAATATAGATTATATCCAGTACTATTATAACTAATAATAATATTTACTAGTATTATATAATGTCATGGCTGATGTTAAATTTGGCTAATGCTGAATATTATGTGAGAATTCAGGCTGGAAATTGCAAATTATGTATCAATCATAAAAATTCAAAACAACATCTCTTCTGTCAAAAATCAAAAATCTGCATAAGAAACAATACTTTATATATTAACAAAAAGTTTTTCTTGAGTGATTTTACTATATAACCTTCTAAATTTTAACACTAATATAGGTGATAACCCTAAACACAAACAAACTTAAAAAACTTTGATACTTTGTACTTATCTTCATTTCAGTTAGGGTTAGTGCTTACAATATGATTAGGTGTTAGTTGATATAATAGCAAAATTGGCTCAAAAAATTTTTAGAATACTAAAGATATGTTTCTTATATAGATTGTTGAGTTATAAACAAACTGAATATTTGTTTTGATTTTTTCTGATTGACCTGCAATCTGCAATTTTTAGCCTGAATAATCATATAATATTTAACATTAGCCAAATCCATGACATATAATATACAAATTACTTATTCCTTAGATTGTAATAGAATGCAGGCAAATTTGCCTATGTTTTTGCACTTTTTTAGCTCTAATTTACTTTTTTAAAAAACTAAAAAAATTAAATAAAACTTTGTACAATTATATTTAAAAATAAAGATTACTTTTTTGCAGTATTTATTTTTAGATTATAAGAAAAAAATTTAGATTACTTATGAACCAAAAATATACAATTATAAAAATAATTTTTAAAGAAAAATTTTTTAGTTTATCTATAAAAACTTTTTAAATATTAATTTTAGACTCATAGTTTTTTTTTTTTTTAATATTAAGGTGACTACTGGAGGGTCTGGCACATTTTATTAACTTCAGTTGCAAATGTTAGAGCAGCCACAAAACCACCTCTGACTTTGTTATATTAATAAGCATACATTCTAGCCATATCTGTGCCTTTTGAGTGCCTAATTAAGTATTTACCTATTATTAGGTTCTATACTAGATGCCATACCTATAATCTACTATTACTTGAGTTACTCATTTAAACCCTCTAATCAACTTAGTGCTGTCAGATATTCTCTCCAAAGAGAAACTGCCACTAAGGCCCCTTAGGACTACTTTATCCTTATGATAAACCTATTAGAGCAGTCCATATCCCATATATGTATCACCTAGATTTTTTAGTAACTTACGTCTAGGCCAAGGCCAAGTATTTGCGAGCTAAAGCCGCTACCATTATTTACTTCTTGCCTTTATGAAGTTCACTCAAACCCCAGCATCTACTTTACAGACTATCACTAACTTTTCTGGTATATTGACAGCATTCTCAAACTTCCAATTCAGATGGCTCAGAAGGAACTTGTGTCTTCTGGTATTCTGATGAATCCTTTTTCTCGTATATATATAGCCTGGTTGGTATGGTGTCTTGCCTAACACCCGGTCTTCGTTCAGTTTGTAGTCGGGTCTGATTGCCAATGATCTTTCTTTACATAGTATCGTTGAAGATCTGTGCTACCTCTTTATTCAGAACTTACCAAGCGGGCTTCCGTATATCCTGGTTCTCTGGATTTATCCAGATCTATCACTTGGATTTTGTGTAACTCTTGCATTATACTACTGTTCCGGATCCTCCCAGTACAAACTAGTATGATCAAAGTTACAGATGCTGATCTGTCAGATTACACACAGTCTGCTGTAACACATTCTATAAAATTTGAATTTTATTACTAATAGAATTCGAACTCTTGTCCTGCCGCTTGGGAATGCGACAACCTACCAACTTCACTAAGTCACCACACCCTTAGACTCATAGTTTCTAATACAACTATAGTTTAAATTAAAGATTATAATTTTATTATTTTTTTTCTTTTGGCAATCCTGTTTACTTTATTATGAGAACAGACTTTCATTTCTATATCAGCATACAAAGAAATCTAAATCTATAGTGTTCTAACCAAAGAGAAACTCACTCATAGCATATCTCGCAGATGCTGAAACATCTACTTGCAGTTAGAGTGAACCATTAAACTGCTGTGTTTTGCCCAGATGCAACCTGCCTAGCAATACTTGGCCTCCTCCAGTAATCCAACAATTAGTGATTATGCTTAACAATTAGTGATTATATTTAGCAATTACAATTATCAATTATAATTAGCAATTAACATTTAATATTTAACAATTAGCAATTACAATTAATACTTAGCACTACTATAAGTAATTTATACTTAGCTACAATGATTAATAATTGGCTCTAAAGATATAAAAAGAGTATAAATTTTTTTAAGTAGATTTTAGACCTGTTTACTATCTAAATAAATACAGACTTTTCTCTTTCTCTAAATTTTCTTTGTAATACTAGAAATCAGAAACTAATATAAGTCTGAAGCATTATTATATTTAGTAATATCCTTAACTGTACTGGAAATTAATTGTTGTTTTTAAAATAGTTTAGTAATCACATATTATGCAGAAAGACAAATAAAAAATTTCAAAGCTATGTTTTTTTTTTATAATTTGGATGTCCTGCCACTTTTTATTTGAAATTAAACTAAACTAAAAAATTTATATTTCCTAATAATAGCTATACTAATCTTCCACAAAGCAGCTTATCCATGCTTTTACCAGATATGATCAGCTTTAGTAGACTTCAAGCCTCCATCTGGATCCCTAACTTACTATGAGTTATCTTTTAATTATAGACGAGTGCTATACATCATATCAGAATTGACTTTTTTTTTTATAAAACAAAGTACAGACACAAATACAAAGAGCAAAAGAAAATGAGAAAATACCTCAATGTCAAATTCTGGTCCACCTAAATATAAAAAACTAAACAAAACAAATAATGAAAGAAAAAAGAAAACAAAAGAAAAGAAAACAAAGAGAGCATTATTAAACCTATGCCAGATTGTAAAAATTATATAGTATACAAATAAGCTAGACTAAATTCTATGCTAATTATTTATATCTATATTCAGGATGTAAAAATATTAAAAACTATCTGGTCTTGAAATAGAGCTCCAAGATCGAAACTTTTGGTTGCTATCTTAATTAGGTCAGCAGATTTTCTGCAATGTTTTAAACATTATTACATTATCTGATACTATTCATTCCAAAGTAGACATATATACGTATATATATTTTTCCTTTTTTAGCAGCTATTACTGTATCGATCTTTGTTAAGGTATGCTGTTTTTCTCACTTTTTGGTGAAAATTTCATAAAGTGCAAAGAGTGGAGTTTAGTAAAGGGTTTCAGTTTGCAGATATCATTAAACTTTGATAAAGAGTGTATTGAAAATTTACTTATTGTTCTCCTTTAAACCAACTATTATCTAACTTTATCAACAGAAGCAGTGCTTTTATTAAAATTTTTTGTATAATGATACTACCTTCTTGCTAGTTATCTTGTATAAAAATGTTTTAACTTACATGCCAAATATATAGAGAAGTCCAGGATAAAATGCAAAAGTCTTGATCTTTGTAAAAACCATTATTATATAGTTGTTTCTTCTAATTTTCTTCAACAAGTTTCTGTTTTTGTTAGCTGTAAGTTTGGTATAAGTGATCATCAGAGTAAAGTTATATTATTGATATATTAATTATAATAATTATGTTAATATATTAATTGATGATTCTCCAGTGAACAGAAGAATGATCATAGTATAACATGACATGGTTTTATATATAAATTACTATAGACAGAAATCTGAAAAATTTCTTAAGAAAAATAGTGATTCTTCAAAGA